TGGCCCATGACGGCAGATCAGGGTGCGCCCCCCGGGTTGGCAGTGCCACAGGCAAGGCACCTTTGCAAAGTTTCTTCGTGAAGCAATCACTGCTGTAACTTCAAGGAGGAATGGCCCATCTCGGCAGATCAGGGTGCACCGCCCGGGTTGCCACTGCGACAGGGGAGGCACGATTGAACCGTTCAGATCAGGGTGCACCGCCCGGATTGCCAGTGCCACAGGCAAGGCACGTTTGAAAAGTTTCTTCGCAAAGCAAACATGGCTTTTGAAGGAGGAATGGCCCATGACGGCAGATCAGGGTTGGCAGTGCCACAGGTAAAGCACGTTTGAAAAGTTTCTTCACAAAGCAAACATGGCTGCTTCTTCAAGGAGGAATGGCCCATGACGGCGGATCAGGGTGCACCGCCCGGGTTGCCGCTGCCACAGGCAAGGCACGTTTGAAAAGTTTCTTCGTAAAGCAATCATGACTGCCTCTTCAAGGAGGAATGGCCCATGACGGCAGATCAGGGTGCACCGCCCGGTTTGCCGCTGCCACAGGCAAGGCACGTTTGAAAAGTTTTGTCGCAAAGCAATCATGGCTGCGTCTTCAAAGAGGACTGGCCCATGACGGCAGATGCGGGTGCACCGTCCGGGCTGTCACTGCCACAGGCAAGGCATGTTTGAAAAGTTTCTTCGTGAAACAATCATGGCTGCCTCTTCCAAGAGGTATGGCCCGTGCAGGGTGCACGGCCCGGGTTGCCGCTGCCACAGGCATGGCACGTTTGAAAAGTTTCTTCGTAAAGCAATCATGGCTGCCGCTTCAAGGAGGACCATGACGGCAGATCAGGGTGCACCGCCCGGGTTGCCAGTGCCACAGGAAGGCAAGCTTGGACATGTTGCACACGGTCGTTGTACGTCGTTGCTGTCGCAATGGTGCTTCAACAGGGTGGCCATGGAAACTCCACCGCCGGAGTTGGCCGTGAGGGTGGACGGGTTTTCGTGGCCGAACGCAAGGCAAGCAAGTTTGAAAACCAGTCTTTGTAAAATGGTCGTTGCTTCCGTAATGGCGCGTCATGGTCGAGTTGCGCCCCTGCACCGCGTTGGCTGTCACTGCCTCGACTTTGAGGAGATATTGGAGTTGCTGCTGCCCACACGAGACAGCGAGGACTTGAACTTGAAAGCGCTGCCCGCTATTGTGGGGCTTTCAGTATTTCAGCATGTTCACAGTGATGGTTGTCTGCGGCTACTAGGACTGGGCGCCCGGCTCCGATTTAGACCCTGTGAAGGACATGTCTCCAAACAGGCACTACCGCGAGCAGGTGCACTCGAGGCATTTAGTTACAGCGCCGCAGCTTCCAAAGTTCATTTTTGTCGTTAGGAGTGGCATTACCGCGACCGGGAATCCTGCCAAAGCCCTCGCACTTTCCAGGCCAGCCGATCTTACAAGCGATTGCGAATGAGCAATGTTTTTGTCGCATCCTGGCTCGCCCCCGGCCAGGCCAAGGATGTTTGGCTGTGGAAGTCAGACAAGAATGCAAGGAAAATCTTCACGACTCCGCTGCAAGAGATTGCGGAGCTCTACGAGCACAACTCGTTGGCTTGTCGCGGCCTGCAAGCAGCCTTTCCATGATGGAATCGTGGCTGCTGCCAGCCTCGACAAGCGAGGGACTCCAAAAAACAACGGCATGTTGCAAAATGCTGCGGCAGCCACTGGTTCACGACGGCGCAGGCGGCTCCAAAGTGCTTACGACAACACAGGTTTTCACATCCCCTACCCTAAATCAGTGGGCGCACCAGTGCGAGGACGCCAGTGGACAGTGTCGCTGCAAATCATGTTGCCAGGCAGCCTTGTTGACAGGTTCCCAGCTGTAACAGCACTATATGCATGCTTCCCCAGCTCAATTTCCGCAAGGAGACGGGCTGGGAGAGACGTGTATCAACCGTCGACGCATCTTGGAACAGGGATGTCAGTCAGATTGACTTGTGAGCCTCAGGTGAAGCCAGCAGAACATTGGCTGTGGCATCAGCTGTTCGAGAAGGCGCCTGGTGAGTGTGCATCTCGCTGGCCTATTCTATAGCTTTCAAAATACATGCCGGGGCAAGGAAACTTCAGAACAAGGCGGGGTTTTCCAACGAGCATGGTTGGAGGACGACAGCTAGCAGCTAGGACATAATTATTGACATACTAGAATATTATGATTTGACGGCACAACTGTGGAGGCCCAAATGCAATCTTCGACATGCCGGCAGTTCAGCTGTAAGCATAAGCTCTCTCGGAGGAGAGGCAGAGCGATGGCTGGGCACTCTCGGGAGTATTCAACTGCCCGGAGAGAAAATACGGCCAGACTTGGCTAACTGCCAGTCATTGTGGAGCATCAGTTCCGGACGTTCCACTTGTGATCCCCTGATCAGGTAGTTCTGGAGCTTTTGCTGCATTTTCGTGCCCGGACGAGAAGGAGAAGCATCGGTCGAGTAAACGATTGCTGCAGATCAGATCTTGTGATTACGGAGCATAACATTTACTCAAGCTTCCTGCTGACGTGTAACAGAGCTGTGATCAACTACGAGCTTGCTTACCGCCAAGGCGCCAATCCAAACGTTCCCGCCGACAGTGGCGCTCACGGCGTCGGTTTTACACAGGTCCGGTGTCGGCTGTTCTTCCGTTCCAAACCTTGCCCTTGGCTGTCGCTCGGAGGTGGGAGCATACCCGTTGCATCTGGCCGCAAAACGTGGCCGCCGCGGGGTGATGGAGGCCTCCTCCTGGTGAGATAGATCCCGTGAGTGTCTTTCCTCCATGACCTGTCTTGCAGGTGTTGCTGAAAGCCGGTATCGGCCCGAGACCTCGTGTCTTCAAGAGCTTTTCTTCATCACGCGGTCCAAGGAGCCTGCATCGATGCGGCCGACCAAAACGGGCGGACCGAGTGCCTTGACTCATCTGGCAATATGGGGCGGCGCGAGTACAGCGATTCTCGCAGAGGCTTATGGTGGCAGCGGCCAATGGACAGTGTCATGCCCAGTGACTGACATCTAGGCAGGCGTTTCTGTAACGAGAGAGTTTCGCGAAGGCATTCTGCCATCCTCTGGCTGCTTTGCCATCGAGCCGTCCCTCGCCTTATATAGCATGAGTGCGCATTCCTTGCTGGAAGCTCCCCCTTTGAAAGGCAGCGGATAGCTGCACTCACTACGGCTACACGGCCCGGCCCAACGATTCAAGCGCCGAGTCGCGAGCGTCCAGGGCCGAGGCTTCGCAGAGAAATGGCCCAGGCCTTGCACTATGCGGCCCTCGTTCCGAGACCTGAGGCAGGGGATTATGAAGGGCTGGGAGGGAAGCCGCCAAGCGAGAGAGAGAGAGAGAGAAAGAGAGCAGCCATGGCCTCTGACAGACTTTCCAAGGCCTAGTGCTCCAGATCGTGTTTACAGGTCCCGCAGGGGAAATGGAAGGCCCAAAGACTCCAATGTAGACTACAGGAGTATACAAGGCACCGATACCCGTGCTATTTATCCTGAGTTAAAAGGAGTGCTACAATCCATGCCGAACATCAAGAGGAAAAGCAATGGCCGGACCACTAGAGGGGCTTTGCCTTCGGCCTTCGAGCGGGTGGTGGAAGCGGTGCATCGGAAAGGAGTGAAGCAACACAGAGGGGGCCAGGGTTACATCAGACTCATTCTCAGGCTGACTCAGGCCTCAGGAGCAAGGCACTTCCCGCAGCTGAAGAAAGTGCTACAACGACGAGAAAGCCAAACAGGATCAACCCAAGTTCACGTTGCATACCGCTGCTGCCAACCCTGGTAGTGGATTTGTCACGATCGTGCGTGATCATCGGTGCAGCAGTCCATAGGCTTAAGCCTTGGTGCCTCCGTTTGTTTGTGGGGAATGTCAGCGGATGGTTTCATGTCCACCGCAAAACAGAGAGGAGATCTAAGTCGTTAATCGTTAAGCCCCCCAAATCGCCCCTGCAGCTGCGGGTCCGCTGAGCCGAGCGACTTTACTCGTGCCTGCCTTGGCTTTTTCCATGCCTATCCCAGCCTACCACTGCCTACCAGTGCCTACATGGTATGTCTGCTGTCCCAGAGCCTGTCTTGGCCCAAGGCCTACCTTGGAAACTTTGCAGCGGCGTGTTGCAGAGAGCAAAAGACCGCATCCACGTGCATTCCTGCGTCCCATGCTGTACTGGCACTGACTCCCTTACATTGCCTTATACGCATGTTGTGCAGTCCGAGGCTTGTCCTGTCCGCAGCTGTTCGGTGGATCAAGACACACTTGAAGCACATTTACAACTCGATGCCGGTTTTGTCGCTCGTTGATGCGGACCTGCGGGGGCCGTGGGGGTGAAGACGTGAACTGGCATGGAAGGCTCCTCTCCGCCTCTCATCCACTCGCCCGAGTCATCTTAGAGACCTTTTCAGGAAAACAGCTTGTCAGGTTTCAAAGCAGACCTCGGCCAAGTGCCCCTCATGGCCGCGCCAATGTGCGCTGCAAGCGCGGCTCGCCGGACTCGGCGTGGATCGCAACGCGCAAGCCGGCATGCCCAAAGTCTCGGCATGCTTGGCCTTCTGCTCACTCTGCCTAGAGAGACCTCGGCCTCGGGTGTGGGAGCCTTGAGCTTCGTTCCCGCTGCTTGGCAGCAGGACGGGGTTTGACGGGGTGCGACGGCGTGTCGGTGCCTGTGTGCTTCGTATTGGCTAAGGTCGCTGTCACCGAGCATTGCGAGAAGGGGGAGTGGTGTGCTCTTCCTGATAACTTTTTGTCCGCTCACGAAGCCTTCGAGTTCGCACTTCTCCGCATCAACGAAATGCGGCAAAAGTGCTATGGCTTCACATTGGCACCTGTAAGACGACAAGATTACATGGTGGCTGGAACCCTTCGGAAAGACATGGATGGCTATTCCCTCTACCATCTGCGTCTGAATTCAACGAATCAATTCGTTCCGCTCCTGGCCTCGAATGTGCGGTTCCTGTTGCAGTCCATCTTGCGGAGAATGCAGCAGACGTGTGGAGAGCCAAGGACCAAAGTGGATGTGGAAGTGGCTCACTTACATCGCATCACCGATCTGTCTATCTTCCAGGCACGAGAACAGCTTCTTTTTCCCTTTTTGATTAGGGCTTTAAGTTCCGATTGATCCACAGGTCACGAAAGTCGAGCCACAAGCTTGCAACCTTTTCAGCCGAAGGCCCAGAGACCGGGCCACGGACGACCGGGATCAGCTTTAGCTGACCTTGCAACTGAGTGACGAATGCCATCGGATGCTGCTGTGTAAGGTGCAGCCGACGATGCTGAACTCCTCATTCCGACAAGTTGGCAAGAAGCCAAGGACCGAACCGGTGTCTGCGGACATCATGTTGTAAGCACCCTGCAAGGGCCAAACATGAACCTTCGCACCTTCACGATCAACAAGCGCCTCTGAAAGGAAGCAGCTGAGACTGCGAGGAAGGTCTTCAATGAGCAGATTAAGACATTCTGCCGCTGGCCTGACACACCTCCGTTACGTTACCCCTATCAGAGAGAGGCGGGCGGCGGCCTCTGCGCGTCCTCTTTTTTGGTCTGAGGCCCCGAGAAGCGGCCTTTGCAGATCCTCCGCATCCTGGCCGCGGCGCGGCAGCCGGTGGAGGGCAAGGCGGCCTTTTTTCAGGGCCAACCTTACGCCACACCTGCGTAGATGCATAGGTTCGACTGCATGCGGTGCGAACTCCAGCTGCAAGGTGTTGCGATTGCAGTTGGAGCTTCGACAGGCTCGTGCGCACACACGCGCCCAATGGACATTCTTGGCCGACAGTGTCGTAAAGGTAGTGTCTCCCTGCAGGAAGAGGAGAACTTCGGTGGCTCTTTCGAAGAGCAGGTCCTGGTTTCCTATGCCCTGGACCATCACGTGCCAGAGGAGATGTCACTGGTACCCGAGGTTTATGCAGGCGCAGTGGGGTGTCTCTCTCTCTCTCTCCCTCTGCGATTCTCCGGCTGTGTCAGAGGTCGGTACCCATGCAGGATGGGACAACAAGAGGATGAGCAAACTGCTCTGGACAGCCACGCAATCAGTGCCAGAATGGCAGATGTGATGCTTTCGGCGCGGAATGTCAGGACTTCTTCAAGTCCAGCCGACGACTGGGCTCCGGGAAAGCATCCGAGCGCAGGCCGTCGAAGCTCCAAATGCACGAATCCTGCGATGCGAAACTATGCCTAGAGGTGGAGGCATCGAACGTTGCCCGCCTGCTACAATCGCGAACAGGCTGTCTTGGGATCCAACCTCTGCTTCCGAAGCAGCGGCTGCGGCTGGGCGCGACCATCAGCTGGAGCGCCCTTTCCAGGATCAAGGTCGCTCTCTCTCTCCCTCTCGCTCTCTCTCTTTTTTCTCTTTCTCTTTCTCTTTTTTTTTTTCTCTC